GTCCGAGTCAAGTCCCAAGTCAAATACAGACAAGTCCAAGTCAAGTCCAAGTCGTCTGCTTTGAACTTCAAGTCATTTCAAATCTTTAAACCAAAGAACCAAATATAGTTTAGATTTTTGTAATTTGTTTGAATTTTAAACTAAACTGTTCTTAAAAAGTCATGAGATACAGCAGACATGTCAAACTCAGGCCCGGGGGCCAAATTTGGCCCACAACATAATTATATTTGTCCCATGAGATCAGATCAAATCTGTATCAGAGCAGCCGCCGCACACAGAGACATGATTTATTTAAAATATTATTATTTTATATTCAGATTGTTCTGGATTGAGTGTTTAAGTAAAACTATTATTAAACATTTATTTTATTAAGAAAATGTTTAACATCACAGAAGAAGAGAAAACATACAGATGATGTTGAAATTTGTCAGTAAATATTTAGTTTGACCCACGACTTTGTCCCAGTTTTTATTTTTGGCCCCAATGTGAATTTGAGTTTGACTCTGCTGATCTACAGTATGTGAGGATTTATTGAAGAATTGTTGTTGAAATGAAATTTTTTATTTTTAAATATTTTTGACAAAATCTTTGTGTGAATCATGAAGGTCGAAACAGAAAGAATTCAGATTTAAAAGAGCTAAATAACAGATATTTTGTCGTGTAGTTTGCACTAAATTGGAAGGATCAAGTTCTGTGTAGTTCTGTTTTACTGCATTGTACTTTATATTACTGTAGTACTTTATATTACTGTAGTACTTTTGAGTATCAGAGTACTTCAGTTTCATCCAAAGTACAAACAGAAGTGGGAGAGACATGTTCCAGTTTGTTCCTTTCAAATTCAGCTCCACATTTATCAACTGTAAAGACAAAAGTATTTCATAAAAACATATTTTTTAGAAGCATCAAGTCGTCTCAAGTCACAGACCTCAAGTCCGAGTCAAGTCCCGAGTTTTAGTCCATTTTATTGAGTCAAGTCTCAAGTCCTAAAAACAGTGACTCAAGTCTGACTCGAGTCCAAGTCGGGACAGTCACAAGTCCCCATGTCTGCTCTGTACTGTATGTTACTCGAGTATTATATAATACTCGAGTAAAAGTACAGTTTGTCATGTCTTCTTTCCGCTGGTGTGTGTCGTCGTCTTGTGTGTGTAATAAAACCCCTCTGAGCTTCACATGACGCTCGACTCAAATCAAATTAAACTTTTAGCGACGTGACTGAAGCACAAACGACGACGAGGAGCCGATGTGACTCCAAGCCTCCAAACGCACATCTGGAACTTTCCTGGAACCTTTTCTGTTTCAGGATCCATCACCTGTTGGTTTCTACGGATGGAATGTTCCGCAGTGTGACTTTAAACAGCTCTACTTTACATTTATTCAGTTACAGGTGGTTTTAAAGCTCAAAAATACCTGGAAAAACAAACAGCCGTTGTGAGTGTGAGCGCGGTCGCCTCTCCACAGATCTGACCTGTACTTCTCTGGTCTGGTTTGGTCTCCATGGAGATAGAAAAGTTTAAAGACACACTGGCCACGTTCACATCAGAGATTTAATTCAGAATAAAAATGAATTCCTCTTTAAAAAGTCCACGTAAACACTTCCTAATTTAATCCTGAAGTGTTTGTTTCTTCTGATTTTAAAGCTGAATTTATTTTTTCCTGGATCATGAACGACAGAAAAGACCACAGTTCAGTTTTAGACCCGACAGAGTCCTGGTTTAGTCCTGGTTTTAAACCAGTTTTTAGACCTTATGTAGTCCTGGTTTAGTCCTGTTTTAGTCCTGGTTTAGTCCTGGTTTAGACCTGGTTCAGTCCTGGTTTAGACCTGGTTTAGACCTGGTTTAGACCTGGTTTAGTCCTGGTTTAGTCCTGGTTTAGTCCTGGTTTAGTCCTGGTTTAGACCTGGTTTAGTCCTGGTTTTACCAGTTTTTTAGACCTGGTTTAGTCCTGGTTTAGACCTGGTTTAGTCCTGGTTTAGACCTGGTTTAAGACCTGGTTTAGACCTGGTTTAGTCCTGGTTTTTCCTGGTTTCCTGGTTTTAGTCCTGGTTTTAGATCTTATGTAAATGTTTTTATGTAAATGGTTTTAGATCTTATGTAAATGTGATCAGTGTGGAACGTTCCAGACAAATTGTGTGAAAAAGCATTTGACGGACCCTCCTCCAGAAAAGTTACACAATGCAGCTTTAAAGTTTTCACGTCTACAGCTGCTAAACCGTAACGAGGGTTTGAACAGGGCCCAGGAGAGATCCCTAGATGACTCAGATGTTTGAGTGGATGTAGAACCCCCGGTGGCGGTGGAAGGTTCTGGGGGGTTCTCCGTGTCCTCACCAGGTCAGGAGTCCGGCGGCGACGGCCGACCACGTGACGCAGCAGCTCTTCGTCTTCTTGTCGTCGTGGTCGTCGCGGTCGTCGCCGCGGCAGCACAGACAACCCAGGTACACGGCCAACAGCAGCAGGTTCACGCCCAGACACGCCGCCGCCACACACGCGAAGAACGCCAGGGTCTGAAGGAACGCAGGAGGAACCGTGAGAACACAGAACCACCACACAGAACCAGAACCACCACACAGAACCACCACAGAACCAGAACCACCACACAGAACCACCACACAGAACCAGAACCACCACACAGAACCACCACCCACAGAACCAGAACACACCACACAGAACCAGAACCACCACACAGAACCACAAACAGAACACCACACAAACCACCACACAGAACCACACAGAACCAGAACCAGAACCACCACCACAGAACCAGAACCACCACACAGAAACCAGAACCACCCACACAGAACCAGAACCACACACAGAACCACCACACAGAACCACCACACACCACAGAACCACCACCAGAACCAGAACCACCACCACACACACAACCACCACACAGAACCAGAACCACCACACAGAACCACCACACAGAACCACCACACAGAACCACCGAACCAGAAACCAGAACCACCACACAGAACCACCACACAGAACCACCCACAGAACCAGAACCACCACACAGAACCACCACACAGAACCAGAACCACCACACACAGAACCACCACACAGAACCACCACACAGAACCACCACACAGAACCACCACACAGAACCACCACCACACAGAACCACCACACAGAACCACCACACAGAACCAGAACCACCACACAGAACCAGAACCACCACACAGAACCACCACACAGAACCACCACACAGAACCAGAACCAATCTAATGTGTTCAGAAGAACATATCAGGTCCGTGGAGGTGGCGTCATGTGGTGAGTTTAAAGACTCGAGTGTTTAAACTGATCAGTGCTGGAAATAAAACCATGAACCAATGACTCTGATGTTTGTTTGAGTTTGTGGGTTAAGAATTTGATCCGTTTGTGTCGAACAAAACACTTTTAAATATGAATAATTGATGAGTCATAATGAATTAGTAATGATTTATTAATGATGACTAAAGATGTTAAATAATGTATTTAGTAACGATTAAATCATGTGTAAAAATGAAGAGGTGTTTACAAATGATGAACCAATGTGTTGAATAATGTTTAACAAACGTGTGGAAGATGAACAAACATGAACAGAAACATCTAGAAATGATGAACTGATGACAAATAAAGAAGAGTAACACTTTACTCATGATGAACAAATGTGTTAAATAAACGTTTAATAAAGACAAGTTATTATAAAGTGATACAAAAAAACTGAAGAATAAATGAATAAACACACATGCACTTTAAAATATGACTCTTAAATATGACACTTTAAAGTAGGTCCAAAAACAAACTGTGTGTGTGTGTGTGTGTGTGTCAGTGTGTGTGTGTGTGTGTGTGTGTGTGTGTGTGTGTGTGTGTGTGTGTGTGTGTGTGTGTGTGTGTGTGTGTATGAGCAGTGTGTGTGTGTGTGTGCAGTGTGTGTGTGTGTGTGTGTGTGGTGTGTGTGTGTGTGTGTGTGTGTGTGTGTGTGTTTAGATGAGCAGTGTGTGTGTGTGTGTGTGTGTGTGTGTGTGTGTGTGTGTGTGTGTGTTTAGATGAGCAGTGTGTGTGTGTGTGTGTGTGTGTGTGTGTGTGTGTGTGTGTGTGTGTGTGTGTGTGTGTGTGTGTGTGTGTGTGTGTGTGTGTGTGTTTAGATCAGCAGTGTGTGACAAAGAGACTCGTGATTCACAATCAGAGCTCAAAAACAAACAGAAGAGAGAGAGAAAAACCAGGACTGAACCAGGTCTAAACCAGGACTAAAGCAGGACTAAACCAGGACTAGACCAGGACTAAACCAGGACTGAACCAGGACTGAACCAGGACTGAACCAGGACTAAATGAAGACAGTTGTTATGTTCTCGTGCAGGACACAGAGTTTAAAACACAGAGTGTTTCTGTCACTCACCGTTTAGTTCCCATTAACTCACTGAACCAGAGAAACACAGAGTCTGACCCACAACCTCCACAAACAACCTCCACAAACAACCTCCACAAACAACCTCCACAAACAAACTCCACAAACAAACCTCCACAAACAACACCTCCACAAAACAACCTCCACAAACAAACCTCCACAAACAACCTCCACAAACAACCTCCACAACCTCCACAAACAACCTCCACAAACACAACAACTCCACAAACAACCTCCACAACCTCCACAAACAACTCCACAACCTCCACAACTCCACAAACAACCTCCACAAACAACCTCCACAAACAACCTCCACAACCTCCACAAACAACCTCCACAAACAACCTCCACAAACAACCTCCACAAACAACCTCCACAAACAACCTCCACAAACAACCTCCACAAACAACCTCCACAAACAACCTCCACAACCTCCACAAACAACCCCACAAACAAACAACCTCCACAAACAACCTCCACAAACAAACAACCTCCACAAACAACCTCCACAACACTCCACAACAACCTCCACAAACAACCTCCACAAACAACCTCCACAAACAACCTCCACACCTCCACCCTCCACCCTCCACCCCTCCACCCTCCACCCACCCTCCAGCCCTCCACCCTCCAGCTCCACCCTCCACCCTCCACCCTCCACCCTCCTCCACCCCACCTCCAGCCTCCACCTCCACCTCCACCCTCCAGCCTCCACCCTCCAGCCTCCACCCTCCACCCTCCACCCTCCAGCCTCCAGCCTCCACCCTCCCCTCCACTCCTCCAGCCTCCACCCTCCAGCCCTCCAGCCTCCACCTCCACCCTCCACCCTCCAGCCTCCACCCTCCACCCTCCTCCACCCTCCAGCCTCCACCCTCCACCCTCCACCCTCCAGCCTCCACCTCCACCCTCCACCCTCCACCTCCACCTCCACCCTCCACCTCCTGCCCTCCAGCCTCCACCCTCCACCCTCCACCCTCCAGCCTCCACCTCCACCTCCACCTCCACCTCCACCTCTCCAGCCTCCACCCTCCACCCTCCACCCTCCACCCTCCAGCCTCCAGCCTCCACCCTCCACCCTCCACCCTCCATCCTCCACCCTCCACCCTCCACCCTCCACCCTCCAGCCTCCACCCTCCAGCCTCCACCCTCCACCCTCCACCCTCCAGCCTCCAGCCTCCAGCCTCCACCCTCCACCCTCCACCCTCCACCCTGCGCGTCCACACTGAGTCTTGTCCACTGTAATGGACTTGTACATTATTTAGGTTCATTCTAGTTCCACCTGCAGAACCTCGACTCGTCCTGTTTATCTTTAGACCCAAACTGGGTCACACGCAGGATCTGAAAGACCTGACTTAGACCTGCTTTTAGTCCTGTTTTTAGACCTTATATAGACCTGGTTTAGACCTTGTTCAGTTCTGGTTTAGTCCTGGTTTAATTCTGGTTCAGTCCTGGTTTAGTCCTGGTTTAGTTCTTGGTTTAGTTCTTGGTTTAGTCCTGGTTTAGTCCTGGTTGAGTCCTGATTTAGTCCTGGTTCAGTCCTGGTTTAGTCCTGGTTTAGTTCCTGCTTTAGTCCTGGTTCAGTCCTGGTTTAGTCCTGGTTTAGTCCTGGTTTAGTCCTGGTTTAGTCCTGGTTCAGTCCTGGTTTAGTCCTGGTTTAGTTCCTGGTTTAGATCTGGTTTAGTTCCTGGTTTAGTTCCTGCTTTGTCCTGGTTCAGTCCTGGTTTAGTCCTGCTTTAGTCCTGGTTTAGTCCTGGTTTAGTCCTGGTTTAGTCCTGGTTTAGTCCTGCTTTAGTCCTGGTTTAGTCCTGCTTTAGTCCTGGTTTAGTCCTGGTTTAGTCCTGGTTCAGTCCTGGTTTAGTCCTGGTTTAGTTCCTGGTTTAGATCTGGTTTAGTTCCTGCTTTAGTCCTGGTTCAGTCCTGGTTTAGTCCTGGTTTAGTCCTGGTTTAGTCCTGGTTTAGTCCTGGTTTAGTCCTGGTTTAGTCCTGGTTTTAGTCCTGGTTTAGTCCTGGTTTAGTCGGTTTAGGCCTGGTTTAGTCCTGGTTTAGTCCTGGTTTAGACCTGGTTTAGTCCTGTTTAGTCCTGGTTTAGGTCTGAACTTGAACATTTTTAGTTTTATTTTCCAAAGGGGAGGGGGCGGAGCTAATGAGGCGTTACCGTGGAGACCAGATGATTGACAGCTGCTCCAACAGGAACTAATGGAAAAACCCCGAGACGAGAGCGAGATGCTCTGTTAACATCACGTGTTCCTTTTACTGTTCGACTGGAAAACGTTCAAATCACCAAAAACAACAGGGTCACGTGTTTCACCCCTCCCTTTGCTCTCTGTGCTGAGTCCCTCCCCCTTCAGAGCACCATCACACACACTGGTCCTGCGTCGCTCCAGGGAAACTCCTGCAGGTTTGTCCAGTCGCTGTGCTCAGTTTTGTGTCGTGTTTTTCTATTTTTATGGAGAACTGTCGTGTGGGAGCCTGGGGGGCGGAGTCTCGTACAGGCTCGTACTGATCACCGTGAGGAGGGGTTGAATAGGGCCCAGTAGAGATCACTAGATTACTCAGACATGCATGGATGAGTCTAAAAGAGGACTGAACCAGGACTAAAATAAGACTAAACCAGGACTAAACCAGGTCTAAACCAGGACTAAAGCAGGACTAAACCAGGACTAAACTAAGACTAAACCAGGACTAAACCAGGACTAAACAAGGACTAAACCAGGTATAAACCAGGACTAAACTAGGACTAAACCAGGACTAAAATAAGACTGAACCAGGACTAAACCAGGACTAAACTAAGACTAAACCAGGACAAAACCAGGTCTAAACCAGGACTAAACAGGTCTAAACCAGGACTAAACCAGGACTAAACTAAACCAGGACTAAACCAGGTCTAAACCAGGACTAAACCAGGACTACATCAGGTGTCTGAATGTGTGTGAATGATTTTTTTTCTGGAATAATTTAGCTCAGACTCTCAAATCTTTTTCTACTGGATTATTTTAAAAGAAAATGAAAACAAACTTTGATTTTTAATGATAATGAATATTTATCCAGTGAAAGTCGACGCGTCTGTTCATGAGTCTTGTGATCTGGAGACTTTGTTTCTACCTGTTTGAAATG